CTCCTTCTGGGCACCACTGCTGCCTACAGATCCTAATCTTCTCTTGCAACCACAGTGGCAAAAGCCTGTACAAATTCTTTTTTGCAGGTACTTATTGTGTGGCAGAGGATATCTGAGGCATCTTCCAAATCCAAACAATCAAATTTGAAGTCAAGGGGAGATTTGCCAACAGCTGTTCAAAAATTGGGCTCGAGCCCTCATCTGAGAGACAGATGAATAAAAAATGCAACAGACATCACTGCTGAAAATAGATAACTTCTAATTCCCACAGATCTCTCTTTGTAGTTTAAAATAAGCCTTTCTGCATTAAGACTACAGTTTTCAAAACAACAAAATTAAAAAAACAAATGTTCCTTCCGAGTGTTGTTTCAATTACATTTCCATGAGTGTACACACTTTTGATGTGTGAATCTTCCCATTAGATTCAGATTAGTTTGGTTTGGACACCATTGATGAGGCATACCCTGAACAGTGGCAGTGGGATTAGACCTCTCATATTTACATCCAAGGGACCAAAGGAAATGAGTCAGCAAATTGGCAAGGTCCCGTTTGATTGCAAAATTGCTGAACATTGTCAGTCCTTGGGATTCAGTACCTATCCCCATGCCTTTCAGCTCCATATCAGTCTGCTAAACATTCGTGGTTTCAGGATCATGAATAAGCAGGTATTTTGTATTATGCCTGCCACTCCAACACAGGGCTTTTTACATGGGCCATATGTGCATTTTAGGGACTAGCTGTTGGTTATTATTAAGAATATTTATTACTCAAGTGATCAAATCAGCTGCTGCCCAGAAGCATTAAATTTAGGTAATGGACTGATGTTACTTGGGCTTTTTGAGTTAAAACAGGCACTGCAAAGGTTGTTCTGGACATAGAGAAACTTGTTGAGGAAATCAGAAGAAAGTAAACTGAAGGGGAAAGATTTAGAGTAGCCTTTCAAGAACCAGCAAATCATCTTAATTGTTTTGATGCATTTTTTTTTTTAAGTGAAAAGGACTCTATTATTGTGCTGCCTGTGGCTAGGCTTGATGGTTCACGAGTTTTCTTTTACTTCCACTTCTGACTTCTACCTTGGGTGCACTTTAAGCCTACTTGGTGCAGCATGAAACACAAAACAGGCTAAGGTGGACTAAGCATTTATTTTGCTTCTTTTCTTCATGTGCACCTTTAAAGTTCTTCATCTGCTATGGGCAGCAAGTGTGAACCATATCTGAAAAACTAAAATGATAGCGTGGAAATAATACATGTTCTCAGGGACAACGTAAAGAGCAGGAACACAAACTCAAGACACAAATCTCAATAGCATTGAGTGGTCTAGAACTAGTTTTGTAAAAATGCATTTCATCTAGCATAAATGCACTAAAAGCTACTGTTTTTAGTATTATTTACTACTCCCCCCATCAAGTACATACTGCTTTACTGATCATGGAATTTGACTATGTGAGGAAAGTAAGTTTGCTTTATGGAAGCCATGGCAATAGCCCCTGTATTTCGGATCAACCACTCTCCATTTTTTTGACATCCAGCCTCTCCCATTGTACTATGGCTAAAAGAGGTTGGAAATCTATTCTTATGTGATTTTGCTACTGATTTGGGTTGGAACAGGATCTCATCCTAAGCATGCCCACAGTCTGGCAGCCTATACAGTCTGTGCATCTGGGGCTTACACCTGCCCTGGCTCTGAGGGAGTTAAAAATGTATACAAAGAAACAAAAAGAGCTGCTTAAAATTTGATTTCCAGTGCAAGTCATCGTTTACCATATGGTAAGGTATTTATCCCAACTACATGTTGTTCAGTAAATCATAGGGTTTTGCAGGGGGCGGGGGGGGGAAGGAAGGGGGTTGTTGTTTTGATTTTGAAGTTCTGTACAGCAAACTGTCTCTGTAAATTGCTGTCACTGCAATGGCTGTGAAACAATCTGCTGTGTAAGTCTGATTGGAAGAAGTCACCAGAAGCACTGCCCTTTTTCCTTTCTCTCCCCACACCCTTGCAGTGCAGATGGCAAATACAATTGTCCTTCAAGGCTGGGTTGGACACCGGGAGTTTTCATGTGCAGCAGTGCCTTACCTGATCTGCAAGCAGACAAGACCTATCAAACCAGGCACAGGAAATAAAGACATACAGCTACTACTAGTATTTTCAACTTCATTGCTACTTTCAGCTGTGAAAAGCAAGTTTGCCTTGTAATAGGCATCTCAAGTTGCCAGAAAGGCGAATATCCAAAATACACCCACTGACCACCTCTATGGGTCTTTATGTTGTTGTTTGTCATTTATTTCTGGGGCTGGTACTAATTTTCAGTTCGTCATCCTTTGACTCAGAAATTCTTCCTCTTCAAAAAGGATGTATCTCCCTGCCGACCATGGAAAAAATGTGGCATGCAATTCAATCCTTTCCTGATAGCACCGGAGACGAGGAGAGGGCAAGTTAGAACACCATGATGAGGAAGTTCTGTCATTTCCAGAAGGAAGCATGATTCACTGCGCAGAGCATTTTTGGGAGCCTGAATCAGAGCTGTCGAGGAAGTCAGTTCTTGGACAGTTTAATGTTTAGTTTAACTGTAACTTTACCGGTGAGATGTGTGCCTCTCCCAACAGGCAGCGGGTACAACAAGATCAGATTATGTGCTGCTGAGGAGCAGGCAAGAGGAGTGCCAAGGAAGTGGCTTTCAAATGCTTGAGACAAAATGAGAAGTGCCCCAGAAAATCTGCCCTTAAATGTCATGGCAAAGCAGAGCTCTCCGAAAACAGATTTAAAGGAGAAATACTCTCACACACTCTTCCCGAGCACAGTGCAGGCAGTGGGAGGGACCTGCAGGGTGGCCATAAGGAGCCTGCAAGGGGAGGGCTGAGCTGGGCTCCTTCCCAAAAGGTCTGGAATTAGTGCACTAGCGGAGAGATGGCTTCATTAGTCACGGCACAGACCTGCTAAGTTAAGCCCTCCACAGAAAGAATGAGTTATGTGCTAGCTGCCAACAGGCTGCAGGATAAATTCAAGTTGTTGTTTTTAATCGCCCGTTGTACCCTACAAGGATCATGATTTGATTAATGTAGTTCCCCCCCGCACACACGCCCTCACACACATGCCATATTGCAGGAAACAGGATTCGACTGGAGCATCTTCCCTGTCTCTTTTGCCTCCCCACCTTCCATTCTCCCCCACAGAAAAGACAAGGACTTATTGGCAAAGTGCTGTACATCTGTGAAAGGTCCTGGGATTGGGAACTCAGCCTATTCTTGGTCTACCACAGGTTGACAGCGCTGTCCATCCTGGAGCGTGCAGCCAACTACGCCTTTTCTCCCCAGGCACAGTTTTGTAAAGTGTGGGGAGAAGGAAATCTGTGTTATTGTATGTGATGGTTAGCAGACTGTTGGTTTGTCTGCGTTTCCAGAGGCACATGTATATGACTGGGGTTGAGCAGAGGGAGCAGGCTGCTAAGGTATTTACTGTACAGAAGTACACACAAGCACCCAAAGCATAGTACTGGAGGGTGGTGCTTATGGCCTGTACACTTAATTAAATAGAAGCCGTCCTTCATCCTCGCTCTTGGCACTCTGTTGCACAGGAACTTAATGTTTCTGGCTTCACGGAGAAGGAAGGGCTGAGTATTAGGGAGAGGCAGAGTTCCTATAGGATGTGAGAGGAGAACGGGATACAGGGAGCATGCCTACGCATCCCTCAAAGACGTCACTGTATACGGGAGCCAAAAGGTAAGGGAGTGGGTTTGCTGACTATGACACACGGTGGGAGGAGATCTGAGACACAAAGGAGTCATGGGTGTGAACCAGGAAACAAGCCCGTGCCCACCCAGCTTTTTTGTTTGCTTGAGGAGGATGTAAAATATGCTTACACCACTTGTGCTCCAGCTCCGAGCGCTAATTGTTAACAATAAAAGGTCACCAGAAAACAATTGCTGGGAACCAGAATTACACCAGGGGCCTGGGTAATGCGATCACTCCTTCACAGGAGAATGCCATCCTGTCGGGAGTGGGCTACAGGGCGATCCTCAGCATGACGCGCCGGGTCAGGCTAGGAAGGGAGGTACACAGCTGTATCAGGCAGCCTTCCCCTCCAGCTCCCTGCTCCCAGGCGGACACACACACACGCCAAGCAGACTCTTTCAAGCTAATTTATTCCTTATTGGAGGGAGTTTAAATATTGTAGGGAGGTTAAATGTTTTTTTTTTTCTTTTTTTTTTTCTGGAGTTGCAGGGAGTGGCAACAGGTTTGGGTTTGCACAGGAGGGCGACCACCACCATCTGGGTGGGATGGGTGAAGCGGAAGGCTGCTAGCACAGCCCAAGGGATGAGGAGGGAGGTACCTCTCAAATATCTTAATTCCTTCCCAAAATACGTTCGTGGCTCAGTCAAGGGTGTGAGTACTGCTCAGGAAGAAATTTCCATGCTAGCATTACATTCATCTGTGTGAGCACCAGAAACAGCAGCAGGGGCTGAAAAATCTGGCCAGCATGCTGGGTAAGTACTTAGGCAACCCAGCCCACCCCAGCTCTGCGCTGTTCATGGCTTTCTGGTTACCACTGCTGAGCCAGCTGCTGTGTAAAGCTACCTTGTGTGTGTCTGCGTGTCTGGTCAGCCCACCATGGGCTGCTTTGTGGGCATCTCATTACTTAAACCTTCAGGACTGAGCAAAGTCAAAGAATGGTGAGAGATGCTCATAGACTGTGTCCACACTGAAGAGCAGCCTGTCTGGGGGACAAAGGTTGACTCTGGCCAGTCAGCAGCAGGTATAGTTACAAAAATGCTAACCCCACATGGAGGTGGGGGCACTCTGGAGCCCCCTGTGACTGAGCAGCCTCAACCCATGCCTGTCCCATCTCCTCTCAGGTGATCCTGAGACAGTTATTCACCTTTTGCTGTGTCTTGCCCTCTGAGATGTGTGTGTACCTTGCCTGTTCTCACCCTAAAGTTCTGGACCCTGACCTTTGTGTAGCTGCATCCGTTCACAAAAGCACAACCTGCCCCACTACCCCCCACAGATACCCTCCCCAGACACCAAAACCCCCTTTCCAACCCTTCATATCCAACTCCATATCCATACTATATCCATATTGTCAGGGAGAGAGAACACAGATCATGGGATAGATTCTTGTGAAAAACAGTCATTAGGGGAATGTGCACAAATATTTTCCCTTTCTTTAGTGGCTGCACATGCGTGATCCCCCCCATTCAATTTTGAAGGTGTTCTCTTTAGTGCTGGGGCCTAAGTCTGTTGAAAAGCCGCTGCTGAAAAATGGTTTTCCAAAAAATACTTCAACTGTAGAAACTGGTGAGGATGTAATGCTCTGCAGAGAAAGGAAGAGTTGACCAAGTAGGTATTCTCTAGATGCTCAGAAGAGATAAGGTTCTCAAGAAATCCACAGAATTAGCATGCAGTATAGCAAGATGGGTAACAAGCTCTCATGCGTCTGAAGGGCACTGTGAGAGAGGTTAGGTGATTTCTGTGAGGAGAACTTGCTGAATTCTCAGTCCTTCCCACGCGCTGTTCCCCCAATGTGAAGGCTTTGTTTTGTGTAGACAAGGACAGCTCAATGAGTGCTGTGGTGCATCATCTCATCCTGTGTGGCCGTGAGATCTAGGAGCGAAAAGGGGAAGGTAAGTGGATTGGTTGAGATGACAGCAAGATTAGTTTGGGGCCAGGTTTTCACTGAAACACCATCATTGTAAAAAGTGGAGGCAAAAGGCCTGTAGTTCCCTTTGAGGGGGTGCCATGTATGTGCTAGAAGCTTTTGGAGCATGTCTGGGCATCATACACATGCTGCTTACAGGTCATTCAGTCTGAGGGCTGTGATATGCCCAGTACTGTACTAGAAAATAAATTCAGGAGCTGCAAGACTCTGGGTGACACTGTTATTTTGACTCTCCATGAATCTGGCCCCATTGGGTTTAGTTTGTTCACAGCATATAAGGAAGACACAAGCTGTCTGGGGAGGGTCTAAGGCATTGTAGCAATCACCACAGCTACAGCAGACATTACCTGTGAGGGGAAGACTGGAAAAAATGGTATTTGCTTACTGTAAGGAAAAGGAGATGGAGGGGATACTAAGAATGTCTTTAATTACCTAAAGGGTTTCTGCAAATAGCAGAGGAATACATCTATAGTACATCTATGCTCAGACTGTGGTGAGCTGGGTAGGTAGGAAAAAGCTTAAATTAGAATGTAGAAGATTCTTATTAGACACCAAGGGGAAAATGAACAAACAAACAAAACAAAACAAACAAACAAACAAAAACAACTCACCAACTTTCATTATAGTAGGACTGTGAGGCCTTATAATGGGTTGTCTAGATGGGGAAATTCTGGAGTCTTCAGCACTGGATGTTTCTAAGAGTAGGAAAACAAAAGCCAGTAAGGACAAGGATGTAGCTGATGCTACCACAGATAACCTCCTGAATTCTTTCCAGGTGGTATACAAGTACTACAGTGAAGAACAGAGAAAATCTACTTTTCAAGTTGTCATTCATTCATTCATTCATTCCCATTTCTGCCTGCATTACTTTTCATTCAAACAACATTAAAATTCACAAAACCATTCATCTGTTTATGTATGGTTGTATAATAAAACATGTGAGTTAGGAAAGAGAGGATTTTGTGAAAATAAAAGATGTGAAAATTTTGTTCTTTATTATGAAGGCCAAACCCTGATTTTTCATAGAGCAGGTCTGATTTTGTTAATTTCTTCTTAGCAAGCACAATTAATGGTTACTGTTTTCTGTAAAATAGAGCTTCTATTATTGAAAAAAAAAAAAAAAAATATCATTTTACAGCACTCAGTGCTCAGCCTATAAAGTTTAAAAGCTGTATGAGGAGTTTTGCATTTTGAAACATTTACTTTTTGGAGAACTATAAAGATGAGTCTTAATGCCCAGATTTCTGAATCAATAAAAACACTCAAATGTCTTTGTCAGCAGGGTAGTGAAACTGAAGCCAAAATGCCACTAAACAAAAGATAAAAGCTTGGATAAAATGCCCTAGCCTTTACTGGCATTTGGTAGGAGTGCTGCCACTGAATATAGAGATACAAGCAAAAAGTGAGTCCTGCCACCATTTCTTGCCAGTAGGCACAGCAGGTGAAATGCGCCCTAAATTGGCCAGTTAAAGGTAGGGCAGTATTTGTTATGGGCACTGGGGGATTGTAGAACTTACTTTTGATGAGGAGATATTTATGGCAGCAAGTGTAACTTATTGTTATGTTTAAGGTTGAATTCCATCTTCTGTCCTAATTCCTACCTTCTTCTCCTCTCTACTACATTTCAGCTGCTCAGAACTTTTGGAAGTAATTCCATTTCTGATAAGGTTGTCATGTTTGCTATTACCACGGAAGTGATTTGCCATAAGACAAATCCATGATAGATTGAATAACCTTTATCTTTTTAAATTATTTGAATAGCCATTAGCTGTAATTAGAAATACAGCGCTGGCATAGGTCAGGACTAACAAACTGTACTCCAGAGGAATCGGGCCTCAGGAATCAGGACCTTCAGATGCTCAGCTGGATCTGTAAGGGTCCCCTGCCCTTTTATGTGCTCAAGGTCCACAGTTGCAATAGAGATCTCAGTGAGTAAACTCAAACTGGAAGAAAAAACCTCCACAGTTCACATTAGTAAAAGTATTGATGCCCTAGAAAGCACTGTGACTATGGATTTGAAATCTCAGGCTTCCCTGTCCCAGAGGAGCTTGTGCATGTGTGTGTCCTGTTAACCTGTTAGGTTTTGTCCAGAGAAATGATGCCCCATTCTGATGGTGTTTGTAAATCCTGCAGTCTTGGATACCTTCATGTCAAAGCACCTAGGACAAAGGAGATTAAGCATGGTGATGAAACAAAGCTTGAAGTAATCACAGGAGGAAGTACAGACATTCAGATTTGGCTGTAGGTGCTATGGTGTATGCTCACCAAAAGCAGCCTTGGCATTCAAGCACTGTGACTGGAGAAAAGCCCTTTCAGTACCTGCAGAGCTGGACTTTCAGTGAAGCGCAGGAATCCCACACACAGCAGAGACATCAGTGCTCAAAACCTCACAGCCAGGTCTATGCAGAACCAGGCCCTATTAAAAATAAATGCGTTTTTAGATAGAATGTTAAGTTCTTGGCTATCATTAAGAGCCTGAAACTTTCCAAGAGATTTCAGGAGCCTGAAGGGAAATAAATTGCTAGATTGGTAGCAGCAATGGTCTACATCATAAGCAGTTATTGTAAGATTAGTGTCCTTCCTGGGAAAGGGGGCTAGGGATTTCAGAATGTATCTAACAAACATGCAAATGTGTGTAGACATCTATATCTCAGTGTTACCTGTAAGTGGAAACAGCCTAGCCAAATTCCCTTCCTCAGGGCATAGCTTGCCAAGTGCTCTGCCTGTCCCATCACGTGTGCAAATTTTCACTGTCAAACAAGAACTTTCTCTGGCTGGAAAGCAGTAACTGGTAATGCAGAGCATGCCAGCGTATGTCAGCAGTATTACTCCCTTGGCACTGCTCCTCCCTGTTAATTGTAGAGTAGAAAACGTTCTTCTTCAGGCTTTTCCTCTAACTACCCCAGTGCAAGAGCCAGAAACCGTGGACATTTGTGGAGGGAATTTGGCAGCTGAAATGCATGGAAGCCTGGCTCAGGCTTGAGCATTTCCAAGAGCAGCATCTGAACCCCTGGTTAACTTCCTGACTGATCTTCTGCCTCAAACAGGAGGCCAACCATGATAAGTGCACCAAACATAAGGGGGGAGGGCTGTGCAGAGGCTTGGACATTTCTTCTAGTTTTAAAAATAGCAGAGAAAATCCAAAGCACATTGGCAGACTGAATGTAACTTTGAGACTCAACTGGAAAGTGCCTCCTACTGATGATTGTCTTGCAGATTTTTCCCTGGGTTGGTTTTCTGCCTGTCCCAGCAGCAAAGCCACAGCTGCAACCTCACTTACACAAATGGGTGAATTTAGAGCTCAAACATGAGTGCATTTCTGGTGCACAGTGAAGAGCTTTCTGTCTTGATTTACAGGGGCATCTGTGTTAATACTCTTGTGATGTTTGCAAAGTCAGTTGGTGATTTGCTTGTATGGAAGAGACAGGAGTGGTGCATTTGCAATTTTCCTTGTTTCATCCTTTAGAAGCAACATTGTTCTGGCTTTCCAAAAGAAAAGGAAAAAAGGTCCTCTTAAGGTTACCTCTCAGCTGTGCCAGTGTGTGTGTGCGTATCTATATGGGAGGTGTGCATGTATATGTGTAGAGGAGAGACTTTCCTTCAGCAATGAATGGAAGTTCAGTCTGCTCTGACCCACAGGCTAGAGATGACTGCAAATTTATCAGGTTCTTCTAAAGCAGGGGGCAGAATGTTATTCCCGTAGTCCGTTGCTGCACAGGGGCTCCTACATCCCAACCTGTTGTACGCCCTTTACCACCAAAGTGTCTGAGCAGAAAAACGTTGCAAGGCTTTTGTAGTTTGTTTGGGACCAGGGTCAATCACTTTTCCTGCTCACCAACACCCTATACATACACAGATGAAAATATGCTAGTATTTGTATAAACCGTATCGATCACACACCATCTAGCACATCCTTTATACGAAAATAACCCAATTCTGTGTTGATTCACTATTTCTCCCTTCATCACGGGGACGGATGACATTTTCTGAAGGATAAAAACAAATTATATTGCAATTGGGAAATTAATGGCATCAGATAAAAACTCTTGGTTGAACAACTGATTTCTCCTATCTTTTTTCTGCTCTTTCTTTCCATTACTATTTTCCCCATCATTACTGTCTAACGGTGAGAGGAGGAACATAATAATAATAATAATAATAATAATAATAATAATAATTAATAACAATAATGTGCTGATATCCAAGAAGTACATTGGTTCCTGAGATTCTTCAGCAGAGGTAAAATCTAAGCTGATGTTTCCTGCCGTGACAAGGTAGCAAGGAGGTGTGCTACAGGAAGAAAATGATCTTTTTTACAAAAATAACCTTGTCAAAGACAACTTTATTACCAGACACAAACACAGGGAGTTAAAAAGTTCTTTAAAGAACAGTCAGGTGCAGGACAGAAGGATGAAGCCAGTACTTAAAAGCATTCCTCCAAAATGTGGCAAATAGATTCCGAATTCTGATCATGTCTGGAGCGTCAGCAGGTGACTAATTCATCTGCAGCATGGGAAGAAGACCTTTTAATGATGTCCATACATAGGACACACCACTACTTGCAGGAAACACTGGCATACTTCAGTCACTTGGCAATTCTCATCAGGCCGTGAAGGTATGTTAGTCGTGCTCATAGTAACAAAGTTTTTGATATCTGCTTTACAGTAAGCAATGAAGCCTTTGTGTCTCAGAGATACACTCCCCCTTACAGATGTCGTGCAAAGAGTGAGAGAGACTGTAATATCTTAAATTTTATTCCAGGTTTGCTTGATAAGTGGGCGGCAATAGTTAGAGGCCAATTTGTGCTTTTCCGTCATGCTGTCTAGACATATTTGCAAGCACTGCTTTGCCTTTAAGAGGAAAGGGTATATCATATATTATACAATAATGGGTTATTTTTACTTGTAATGCATTAAGAGGCTGTTTTCAATCAGACACCATTTGATATGAGGGTATGTTCTGGACAATAAATGGAAAAAGTGGAGCATATCCTTTTTTCACACAGCAGACAATACCCATACTTTCCATATAGACAGGAAACGGCTTAGGTTTATATATAGAAATACAGTATGTTTTGTATGCATACATAATGTATTGATTTATCAAAAAACTATCACTGTATAATTGGTTGAAGCTGCAAAATTAATCCACACCCATGTAAATATTTAATATGCGGCACGAAAAAGACACATCTGGGAACTTTAAGAGAGGTCCCTTCCCATCAGACATGACGTGGGTGGCATGGAGGTCATGTGCTGTTCAGCAGGCTCTCAGAGCTACCAAATCCGCTCTGTTCAGTGTCTGTGTGTCATAACAGATGGTGCCATCTGCCTCCCACGGGATCTCATAGGTTCATCTCTTCACCTCATCCTCAGCCCACCAGTCCTCAGAGGGCACCAGCTCTTTCTTCTTACTGGCACTGCAACCAGTGGTCCTGGGGTCCAGGACCTGATTTACCTTAGGGCTATGGGGATCCCCAGTCCCATTCCCACCAGCTGCCTAGAATCTCTTTTGGCTGGGGCTGTCCATCACCCTCTCCTCTCCTGGCATCTGAAGGAGGTGCCCTGCATTTCTCAGGAGCTGTACAACTCCATAGCACAGCAAACTTCTACAAGGTCACACGTTGCTCATGGCCACCCTTTCCCTGGGGGAGAGGGAAATAAAATCATTTTCATGGGAGGCTGGCAGTACCCAGGCAGCAGCTCAAATTTGTTTTGTTTTATTTTTTCTATCTGCCTCTCTCTGCACCTGTGGTTTCCTGAGGACATGGATGTTGGCACAGCAGTGAGCTGCACTCAGCATGCTGGAGCCCAGGCAACATAAGCAGCTGGAGAACCTCTGCTTCATCACTACGGCTCTGCAGTTTGACCGAGCTGACTCACTTCTTGACTCTAGCTTCCTGCAGAAGATATTTGGCTTGTTGGAAGATGTTTTGCCACGAGGCTGGGAGACCTGGGGTTAGGAAGGCAAGGAGTTATGTGTTTAAACCTATGCTCATTTCAATTTGGATGAATTCCTGCTCACCAGACGATGACCCACAGCCAGGCGTTGTGGTCAGATTATTTAGTACGTTAGCAAAGTGAATTTGATGGACACAGTCACCAGCTGGACTGTGATCTGATAAGGCTGTCTCAGAGAGGACACAGTAATAGCCCAGAACAAATACATTTGTTTCTTTCTGGCGGTGTAAACAGATCTGTGTTTACTTTGTTCCAAAGGGCTTTCTTCCTGTGCTATCAACATGTAATCTTTCACTTGACTTAATAAGTGTTGAATTTTGTTTGTTTGCTTGTTTTTACATATGTTAAAAGACTTAATGGGATTCTTCAGTTCTGTCATTCACTTCATGCTGGTAACAAGCATCGCCAGTGTCTCTTTTTAGGTTTCTCAAGCCCCACAGAGTCTTCTTGCCCTTTTTAATATATCATTTATTTATTTATTTATTTATTTATTTATTTTTAGGAAGTGAGGAAAAAGTGCAGTGAGAGTACTACGCTCCTTCCAATTGCAACCTTTAATGGCTATGGTAGGCAAAGTTTCACAAACCCTGTTACTGATAAGAAAATAAATCCTTCTCTACCAGGAAGCTGTGGCGTGAGGACTGAAATACTCTCTAAGCCATAAAAGTTCAGCTTGGAGTGAGGAGAACTCCAGCCGTCACCTTGCATATTTCATTTGTTACAGGCCATCTGTGTGCATCATCAGGGATCTCAGGAAAATATTACTCAGCTGTCTTTTATCTCTGTCTAGCCGAGCTGGAGCGTGGGTAGCAGAACACAAAGTAACAGGTTCCTAACTTCAGTCTGATGATAAAAGGTGTTTGTAACCTAATAGAAGCACATGTTTGTATCGATTAATAATACATGGCTGCGACCCGCCAAATAAGCTGTGCGTGGAGCGTATTTTGGAAAACAAGTAATGAGGCTCTTCCTTCCTAATCAGCTCTTTATTACTTGTTGAAGTGGAATGTGAGAGCAGAAAGTAAAGCTCAGGTATCAAAAAGAAGTGGTGATGACGGGTTGAGGGGGGTCACTTGTGAAAACAGTGGAAATCAAATCAATTAGGCCTGTCAGCTGGAAAACATCATGGGGAATTAACGCTTGTTTGTCTGGATTCCTGCAGCCTGCATGAAAGCGCAGGAAAATTGTATTCGGGTGACAAAGTACTATATGAAAATTGTGATTTAACTGATAATAGAAAAGGGTTATGTAAGACATATCCACTGACAGATCAAATAAGTAAATAGGATAAAACTTTAAAAACAGCAATATACTTCTAATCTTCAGAAGCAAATGCATCTGCACACCCCACCAGACAGAGGTGAAGGTACCACCCCTGTACCTTTCAGGACTCGTAAGAACTAGAGACTGTTGGGGCTCTACTGAAAAGGGCAAGATTTTTCCTGGTTGCTATGAAACTGAAATTATTGCTGGTGGCATAAATTTAATGAACGTGCAAAAAAAAAAAAAAAAAAAAAAAAAAAAAATCAAGGGAATATTTGGATCAGGGCTACAAAGCAAGGAAATTTCAAAGGAAGGGGCACTCAGGAATTTTTGGGTCTCAACCTCATTTCTAGTTTGTTTTCTTTCAAAGCTGAAATGTACCAAATAGGCCTTCCCTGTACTACACAAGAGTTTTTTTTTTATTATTATTATATTTATATATGTATATATATATATTTTTTTTCATATCACACTCCAGGACAGCAAAGATAGTGCCAGGGCAGCTACAACCACAGCTTCTGCTGGATCAGTGCCCAGCTGAGGAAAGCAGGAATTCAGGACTTCAGTCTGCAAAGCCTCTGACTAAACTCATTAAAGCTTGGACATGAATATTAAGCAATGACTTGCATTTGCCCCTGTCCCCTCTCCTTCCTGAGCTCTGGCAAAAGCCTGGGGATATTCCTAGCCCCAGCTTTGGGCTGTTCTCCTGCACTGACCCAGGCTACACAAGGCACAGGACAGATTACCTGTGCACAAATTCATGCCAGGAGGGTTAATTTCATAGGTGCTTTTAATTACTGTTTAATTCACCTAGGTTCTATACTGAAAGACCCCCAAAATCTGAGAACTATTATAAGAATACATAACCCCAAGAAGTATCAAGGATCAAAATGTTTCAACCTATTTCACCTGTACTAAAATAGAAGGGGTTTGTAGATTACTTTTTCATTGTCCCCAGGTAGACATGCTCCTATTCTTGTGTGTTATATGCTGACTACGCACACAGGTTCTTGGCACACACCATGGTTTTTACAGTACACAATTTTTAATGAAATTAGAAAAAGAAGCAATTTCAAATGACAGGAATAAATTAAAGGAATGGCTTCAAGGTACAACAACTGATTGCTCAGTACTTCTCATTCAGAGGGAAGTACCCCTCTGAAAACAGAGAAACTATTTCTTCTGACCATCTAGAAGCTGTGAATCCCTGTCCAGAATTTCAAGTGCTGTGGCTATCTGTGGCTGAGTTATCATGTTTATATAACCATATAATTTTTTAAATTATTTTTTTGCTTTATACCTGGGTGAAATAATAAAAGAGACTGGTGTTTAACTTTTTATTATTCCAGGCTTCAGAAAACCCTGGTCACTCCAGTTTTCACATATTTTATTTTATGGTGCAGTTGGGATACTATGTCAACCAACTTACACATTTCAATGCACATAAAATATAATAAAGCAGGGGCTAACCTGCGGTCCTTTGCAGATCAGTGATGAGGAAGGTGTGGAAAGCTATTTGGAGCTCCCTACTCACCCCTGTTAACACATGTGTGTTTCCTTAAGGAAGTGGTGATTACACCTTGTTGTCGGCAGTGCAAAGCTTAGCATATCTTTATATTTTCACTATGGAAGAAGGGAATTTCTTCTTGCTTCTGTGGGCAGCCAGCCAGTGAAAGGTGATGGGAAATACATGACATCCTGTTCTTCCTACCTTTCATCTTTCCTGTTCACAGACACATTTTGAGCGTGACATGCAGGTGTAATTAAAAACAGGTTGATGCCATGCACAGCTCAGCAGATGCATGTAATATTCACCTGCTGTGAATCCATGTACATTGGCTTTTATGAAACAGTGAGACATTTGCAAATTGCCTGTTGTAACTGCAATAATATCAGTATAAGAACAAAACATATTGTGTAACTTTCACTAGCAGAGATCAGCTCAATGGCTAATACTTTTCTCACTAGTACTCAAAGTAATGTCATGCTAACTATTCATTCTGATGTTTTTCCAGTGAAGTTAATAGTATTGAAGTGGTGCATTTCAGACTTGCTACAAAACAAAATCAACCAAACAAAACAAAGCAAAAACCCCAACACGTCTTTTCCTGCATTTCCTGGGCATGCTGTTCCTGTAAGGCAGCAAAGCACCATTTGCTTTCTCCAGCCAGCAACGGAGGCTGGGGATGGAAAGGACTGGTACATTGGTCATCCTTCTTTGCCATGTTTTTTGAGAGACATCTCTAAGGAGAAGGTGGTCAGCCTACTCACTTGAATCACATACTTGGCATACTTAACGCAGCTGTCATACCTTCTCTTCCCTAAGGGAGCCAAAAGCAGAGAGGGAGATGCAGGCAGGAGGCACACACACTGCGAGCTGCCTCACTGCCCTGCTGTGAGCCAGGAGGGGAGGCTAGGTGGGGATAGACACCAGAAGCGGCAGAGATCAGAGACTAGGGTGGTAAAATTTGATGGCAGCAGATCTTCCAACTGCAGTACTTCACATACATGCCACACTGGCTCATCCCTGGCAACTGGGAAGAAAAAGTACAGTTTAAAAAAGCTCCTTCTCTTGTCATCTGCCTCACCAGCAGCTCAGGCAGGTTGTGTTGCTCTCAACCCTGGAGCAACATTGGCCGCTGAACTCCTCTCTGCTTTAGTTTAGCGATCCCAGACCATGAGTAGGAGCAGCCATTCACCTCAAATGAGTGCAGCATCATAAATCTGTTCAGCTGCACATTTTAGCTCCGCAGTGTCAGACAGGCATAATTAGAGCTCCAGAGTCCAAGTGCCACCCCACCAGTCTTACAGCAGTGCATTTGCCCACGCTTTACATGAGTCATCTGGTGGGAGAGGAGAATTAGGCCCAACATGTCTGGGCTGAAGTGATGACTTAATCAAACTGCTCCTTCCAGCTCTGACAAGTGTCTCTTTATGCTCCTTGGTGTTTAGCTTGGAGTTGCCAGTTGGGATTTTTCACACCTGTAGGTTATTTAAGCCCTTATTCTGCTGTAGCTCTCGAATTTAAGACAATAAATGTGTCCTTTGGAGCAGTATTAGGTGAGGAAGACATATATGCTCAGGTGACTAAAATAAATGAATGATCTGTGCTGTGATACATTTGTAACTGCTTTCCAAATCCGAACAGCTGCCCATGAACTTCCAGCTCTGAAAACTGCTGTTAAATACTGTGATGAGCACCTAGTTTAGTCCTCAAAGTATTCAGAGCATTTACTGTCAGGTCTTCATGCAAGTAAAATTTATATATTAGTACTCCCAAGAATGATCACATACACTGACTGTGATCATCAAGAATAGTTAATGAGAAGAAAGGAATGACTTCAGTTTAACGCCATCACACCTGACTTCAGCCTACTTGACAGAGAGGAAATTGGAAAATATTTACAGAATTAAAATTCTAAAAATAAGTAGGAAGCTATCAGTGGAAAAAAAGGCAGGCAAGACAAGTGGATCTCCTCCTTGTAAGAGGACATTGCCATGCTTGAAAAGTGGAGTTACAAACTAACCCAAAAATATTTAAGCCAATAGAGAAGGTACAATGGGTTTATTAAGGTTTTATCTATAGGTAAGCAGAATAGGAAATATTTTAGGGAGTAGAAATTATTTGAGCTTTGTTAATCGTTCATTTTCGAAAGTCCTGACTTCCAGAAGTTTAAAGTTAGCTAAAGAATAAGCAATTGTATCTATTTGAATTACCTTACTTCTGACACAGTAGAGCTTCCATTGTCACCTGCAGCAAAAGCCTAACATTGCTGTCTTCCATTCTCAGCTGTAACAATTCAAACCAATTTTTCCAAAAAAAATAAAAAATGAAAGTAACACAGTACATATTATCTTGTTATAGATCTTGTGTTAAGGCATCTCATTCAGAACAGTTGTGATCCCTACTGCTTTCCATCAGTGTCCTGCTCATCTCACTTGCACTATCAAGATAAATGCTGTTTAGAGGCATATGGTCAGACCTTGCATTTAAACAGGCTGTAATCTCTATGGCCAGAGATACCATAAATAATTGAAATACCAGAGAATAAATAGTTTCACTAACCATGTTCTGCCTTAACTAATCAGAGCATCTGGTAGATCCACATACATTTAATTAATTTGCTGTTTGTTTGTTCCTTTGCATAATTAACTATTTAATTTCGCTGCCCCCCATATTTGCTCACTAATTATTTATTCCTTGCTAACTCATTGATCAGCTGCTTGCAGCTCCTTCTTGCTTTTCTGACCACCATGTTTATCCCTCACTCTATTTGTATCAGCCGTTTTCATATCTTCCCAATTTTCATTCCTCCCCTTGTCTTTCTTTCCAGCCTGGTCAGGGTGCAGCAGCCACCCTGCAGTGCAGTGCCCAAGGCTAGGCACTGTGTTTGGGCACTGGAGAGAGTGGGGACATTGCTGATGGGGCAAAAGCTATCTGAAGAGTAATGATGCCTGGATACACTACTGTTTTGGTTGCAAATAGTTCATTTAAAGATATTAAGACAAGTGCAGCTGGACTGGGGAGAGGTGTTTTTGGACAAGTACAGCTCATATTTGTTTGAAACTGGAAGGGTTTTGATGACTTGGAGACTTGCTGTCCCTAAGACAGAAGCTGCTCACCAGCTAGAGTGTTCAACCTGCCATTCACATTTTATGGCATCCCGCAGGTTGCTGAAAACAATGCTATATGCACAACAGCAAAAACAATCCAGGAAATTAGAACCTGTGGGTATACCCAAATCTTTATAGTCTCAAATAAGTAACTAATGCCTAGAACACAAATTGTTCCTCTCCACTGAGAGCTGGTGTGATCCTTACCCAACATGGGCTCCCTTAATTCTCCCAGAAGTCTTTAAAGCTACTTAACCATAGCATTTTGGATATATTTTATTCTTGCAAGCAGCTTTTTTGACCTTGCACTGCATGCAGCAGCCCGTTCAGTCAGTGAGAGTTTGGAGTGTGATGGTGGCTCTGAATTCAGCCTTCTCATGTGAGACTCTCATCATCTAAGTATAGCCGGTAGGTTTTATTTCTGGGAAGGCTTGTTTGGATTTCCGTCTGCTCCACTCTCCTCTGGTTTAGATTTCTCGTCTGAATGCTGTCCAGGAGCCAGTGCTTACGCTACCATTCACCATATCACTTTTTGCTAATTGCTCCCATATTTGGAGCAGTCACGTGTGCCAAATTGCTAAATTGTGACTGCACTTTCCGGCAGCTACTAGAATCTCCCAAAAGAGGCAATTAAGACGCCAAACAGTGCAAGGGGAGGAAAGCTGGCTGTAAGAGGCTCTCAGGGTCATCCAGCATTCTTTCAAAAATGTATTTCTTGTGCGTCGGTTCTTTTTAAAGAAAGGAATAGTTTCACTGTTAATTTTTTCTCTTACTTTCAGCAGGGTAAAGGACTGTTTCAGATAGTCATTACCTGAGACTGTCAGTCCGTGCTCGCTTTGACTGCTGGCACGGGAGCTGCAGCTGTGCCTCAATGGCAGCTCAGCAAAGGACCAAAGCAGACACTTGGTTTCACATGTGGCCTCAGAGTACGCTGTACATGTCTTGGAGATAAGAATGTAATTGTGTGTCTTGATGAGTAAAAGCCCAGGATTCTGGAAGTAGCTTGGAAACACTTGACTCAACTGAGGAAAGCCAAAGCAATTTTCCTTGAGATTGCTCCTACAGGTACGTATTGTTTTTGGAAAGGGGGCTTAAGTAAATAGATCACTAAAGCTCTGAAATGCAGATCAAAACTGGACCCTGATCCCTAAAATCTTCCACGGAACCTGCCTTCCCAAAACATTGACAAGATATAGGTTTTTGTTCTTACCACCCCCAAAAAATTTTAAAAAAACCTTTAATTCGGTATTCTAGGTGTCAGCAGGTGAATGTCAGGACTCAAGCAGATGACATTTCCTGAAACCCAAAGGCTTGTGACTGAAGGAGCATCATTTACAGTATAGTTTTAGAAATTAGTTCAAATGATCAGGTCATACAGGAATTAAGTTGGCTTATGTATAGCAAAGGAACTCGTGGGAAGAAAGAGGAAGAAAAGCTTTCTGCACTGTGCTGATGAGAATCACAGAGAAACTCCACATTCAGCCCCGTACATACTCAGTGGCTTGGGGAAATCATCTATGAGCCCCATGTAATCTGTGCACCCAGGCTGGCTCATGCTTCCTTTGCTCTCCAGAGCAACCTCCACTGGCTTAGAGGGAACCTGGACAGCAAAAGTTGAGATGTTCTTGTGCCTTAAATGTCTACTGAGGGCATCACTATATACGAAACTTCATTCATGTTACACCTGGACACATTTTTTTGGACATGCATCTTCCATTTGAAAACCAGAAGGCTGAGAAATCCTTCTGGGTATTTGGAGGGGAGAGGGGAGGACAGGGATTGAGGATGAAGCTTTTGCAGCTTCAGGATCCTTGAACTAGTCCTGCAGTGGGGTCAAGCACTTCTTTCTTTCTCAAGAGTTTGCTTTTATGCTGTGTTATATTTACCCAGGCATTTTCCTAGACACAGGGAACAGCTCAGCCCTGATAGCAGCCGTATCCAAGACAAATTGTTCAGTGCTGGGTAAAGAGTTCAATAAAACCTCAACAGCTCTTGTTTTGCACCTTGGCAAAATAATAAGTGTCTCAATTTCCCTGGAGATGGGAATAGTAATAGAAAGTCTTCCCATGAAGATGAAGAAAACCTTAAGAAGAAAGGAGAAAAAGCCTTTTTTCAGCTGAAGTATCTCACCTGTGTGTCTTGAAAACCAGCATTAGGGAGTACCTCACAGCCTGGGCAAGTGCTCGACCAAAAAGGTGAGGAGCTGCAAGGGTCAGGCTGCAGAAATTCTCAGATGTCAGCCTGCAGGTGCAGGCCACCCTCAGTGGGCAGCCAAAATCACCAAAGGGAAAATCAGAATGAAGTGGCTGAGGTGGAAAGCAGCAGCCTGGGTGTGCAACCTACATTGAAACTGGGTCTGTGCCCGGTGGGATGCCACATCCTTTGGGAGCCATCACGGCCACTGAGACCTTTGCTTCTACTTGCCCTGCTGTGGGAATACTGAGGAGAGAGAGATAAGCATGCATTATATATCTGTGTCCATCTCCATGGTTTGGACAGGTTTTCTCCCATTTCTTTACCCCAATTCATCCCAGTACCCCATCACTTCCATTTCTGGCTCACTTTTCCCCTTTTCTCCCTCATTCTATCTGCAGGTTTCTTCCTTGACTGCTGCTTGGCACCAGCAATTCAGGGCAGGTGAATTTCTGAACTTTTCAGGAGAAAACGGCCGCAGGCCCTGAGCCAGGGCCCTCTCACCTCTGGCTGCACTCCCTCCCAGCTGGGTCTCTGGTGTGTGCAGGGGGGAGCAGCAAAATTAAATGCTTCAAGCTCTGAGACATTTTCTGTCCACATTGCAGGCCAAGCCTGTTGGATTTGGACCAGAGCGGCCACTTTAGTGGAGGCAGATGTATCTGTGGAGGGAACAAAAGTAGGGAAGATTCAGTGTGTGCTGTTTTCCCAGCAAAAAACAATAATGCTAGGTAATTCCTTTTCTCCTATAGGCTGTACCTTGTCCTGCTTGCATGGAAAATGGCATTGTCCTGTAAGCAAGGAGCAGCAATTGGCTGCAAAAAGCGCTCTCTGTACTAACACCACTCTACTTCAGGTTTTCCTCTCGGGGGGCAGGTTACTCTGAAGGAAGTAGCAAGGCAAGCCCGGTGTCAGGTGGAATAGCTGAAATTCCTCAAGTTTCTTTTTGCCAGGGTTTCAAGCTGTGAAAGACACATGATCTCCACTGCTCCAGCCTATAACTGAGGATTTTCCCCAACAAAGATGAATAGTTAGCTGTGCAATTTTATTTTAGCACTTTTTTTTTTTTTTTTCTACCTCTGCCAGAAGCCATGGTGAATTCTGAGTTAAATCATTATTAGGGGCAGTGTTTGGAAGCAATAACCTCAGATGGGGTTTATCAAAAGGAATCCATTAGTCCTCATCCTCAAGAACTGACTTGGACTATGATCACCTTTAGAGAAAAAATACAAAGAGTTGGAATTCTGGCTCCTTTTCTGCCATTCACATTGTCATAGTATCCCTTGAAAGCAGGGGCTGAGGTGCAGTGTTCTCAGCCCCCTTACTCCTGCATGTGGTCACAGTCAGGGGCCAGAAACAAGAATCCTGTGAATCTCTCTTATATGCCTGTTGCAAGAGCTGCGTCCATTTTCATGTCGAGAGCTAATGAAGTTTAAGTACTGAGCAGCTTCATGCTGAGACTTGCTGGTTTGACAGAAGTAGACAAGATGGAGAAAGAAGAAGCTCTGCTCCTTGCTACACAAATGATTTGCTAATCACCCAGCCAAGTCCATCAGAGGTTTCTGGTTTAACTGAAGAGCTATTGCCATTTACGGAGAAAAAGAGAGCTATCAATAATCTGTGGGAAGGGGGTGTGTGCAGTCGAAACCACTTCTTAAATAAAATTAGGGATCAACAGCCTTTGGAGAGGGGGTAAGAAGATTTAAATTTGAAAGAAAACTGTAGGAGGCACCAAAGGAACACAGTGCAAATAAAAGTTATCATGCCTTGCCTAGAAGGCCTTAGGAGTTTGATCTCCTTGAAAGAAAACAAAATGTAATTTGTTTTTCTTTGTTTGTCACCCATGTCTTTGTAAACTTTTGCAATTCTTGTTACCTATTCTTTTTTTTTTTAAATAAAATAAATATCTTTACTGACTTCAGATCAGAATTATTTTCCAGATAAGCAGCTAACAAAGGCATTTCATGTAGAAATCCTTCTCACCGTGTTTCTGTAGCACTGATACAAAGAGCCAACACCTCTGCATGTTTCTCTGCCGTGCCCAAGGTCTCCACTTTTTATGCCTCTGTTTCCCAGGTGAGTTTCGGAACTGATAGTGCAGGAACAAGAGAGGAAGAAGTATGTCCTGGTGGCTCCCTCCTAACCCAGAAAGCCTGCAAGGCAGTAAGCAATCTGCACCAATCTACACCATGTTTTCCATAGAGTTCACTTCGAGGCAGGATTTTACCCACAGTCCATCAAGCTTTCCTCTGCTTGTGGACTCGGTATTTTTTGAGCATGTTTGCCCATGT